ATACAGGAGCCATGAAATCAGATCAGTTACAAGGGAAACTTCCAGAAGAGTCAATTTAGATAAATTTTTTATCACTTGATTTTTTTCCATTACATGCTTTAACTTATAAATGAGTTAGATAACATTCCACAGAGAAAGTCCGAATGTCTGTGTGTTTTTAATTCAAAAGTGGAGCACTAACATTTTAAGCATTTATAGTATAACTTCATTCTGAAGCTTTAGAAAAGAATATTTTGGCATCGTCTGTATACAATTTATGGATTTTGAGCAGATTTGTACAGGACTTTGTCCAACCCATCAGGCCCTCAGTCCCCCAAAGGATACTAATACAGTATGGAATTTATGGGCTGAAGTATTTCACTTTTCGGCCAGGAGCAGAGTTAATTCTACAGTGAATAAAATTTCAGACAAGGAACATTTCTAATGTAGTTTTACTTTATTCTTGGACTTCAGTTATTGCCAAGGTTTAATAAAAGGTACAGATCATTTTAGCAATATATGAAAATCTTTTGCATATTAGACAATTACACTTCTAAATGTACATTATCAATGTCACATGCATGTAAATTCTGAAAAAAATGCAAAGAATATAGAGACATAGAACTTTAAAATTAAGTGTTACACTTTGAGGAAACAACACATTAAATCTTCTTCCTTCTTTCATTCTACCATCTTCCTCCCAACTCCTTATTTTTTCCTGTTTTCTCTTATCAACTCAGTTAATCATAAAGTTTTCACAGAATGGAGCAAATTAAACATAATCACATAAGGTCTTAACCATTTTCTACTGTGTGATTAATGTTTTTTTACAAATCTGTTGTCTTTGTTGTTATGGTGACTAAAATTTACCTAACCATAGCAGATGCAGATAAGAAAATTCTTACAGTCCTCCTTGTGTCTAAATATTGACTTTCATTTATAAAGTATTAAAAGTCACAAACACTACACACATCACTCAATATATCATGAGAGTCTATTATCTTTGATATTATTGATTTTCTGTGCTTTATTTGGGTTTTAATTATGTCTTGAATAGAGTACAAGAAAGCCCTTTGTTTTGTTAACTTTTAAAATATGTTTCTGTAAGGCAAAAAAGACTTAACAGATTTCATTGTATGGCATCTTATTGTCTTTTATTATTAATTCCTTTTAGCTTAGCATGCAATTTCAGGCTAAGTAAAGATTAAAGATTTTAATTTTTCTGGGTGTGACACTGAGTGTGATAGAAGACAGTTGTTTGGTTTTGTTTATTTTTGGACAGGAATGAAAGAATATACTTTTAAGAAGAGTTTAAGACTTTAAGCCTCAATATCAGAAGACTTCTGGCCATGTTTGAATATTGCTTTAATTCCTAACAGACTGATGAGCTGAATAAATCTATACCTGAGGCAGGTTCAGAGTTCTCTCTGACCCACTTACTTCTGTCTGCCACTTTAAAAGCCATGGGGATGACTGTTTCCAAAGTTGACATCTTAGTCCATTGTCTTTTCTGAAGGAGTGAAATCAATTTATTTGAGCCAATTCCAAGTATGGGAATTACTGAGCTTTTACACTTTTAAAATTTCAGTTTTGCATCTGAGGTGCTTATCACTTTTAACACAGAGAACTCCCTGCATTTTGTCCATGCTTGCCCATAAATATGCAAAACCTCTGCAATTTGATTGAGCAATAATATTAAACAGGAAACCAAATAGCATAGAATTTAAAATCAAAGCGCATTAACACCATGCTTATCTCACCATCATATTTGGCAACATTTCATCTATCCTGATTCCTGTTTCTGGGGGTTTCTAAAGTTCTTAGAAAGCAGTTGAATAGAGGAGCTTGTGCTGTGTAGGAAATCACTACTTGTAGAATCATTGCAGTAGAAAACAATTTATTAAATAATATGGAAATAGAAAAGTGTGTTATCCAAAAGCATGTGTGCCATTTTGGCTACTTTATATAGATGATCACTCACAAGCATTTTGAAATAACCACTAACATGTGACATACATACACCCTTGTAGTGTTTTGGCATTGACTTTGTTACATCTATTCTTAAGTGGTTGTGCTACTCACAATTCATCATAAAATCATATGACACCTATACATCTCTCAATATTTGTCCAGTGGTTTGTAGTATTGGGGAATTCATGTATTTTTTATTTTATAAAAATGATCAGCATCCAAAAATTTTATCAAATATTTGACTAGTAACAAACTAAAAGTGTAAAACTTGCATTAGACATGATCATATATCTAACATCTAAAGCAGTATAAAGAATTTTTTCAATACTGGGATTTGAACTCAGGGCTTCATGCTTGCAAGGCAGGTGCTGTATCATTTGAGACACACCCCAACCCGTTTTGCATAGGGTTTATGCGTGTGATGACCTGGACTGCCATTCCAATATTTATACTTATCACATAGCTGGGATCACATGTACACACCACCACACCCAGTTTTTATTGGTTGAGATGGGGTCTTGTGAACTTTTTGCCTGGGCTGGCCTCAAATTGATACTCCCAGTCTCTGCCTCCAGAGTCACTACAATTATAGACATAAGCCACTGCACGCAAAAGAAAAGTTTTAAATGGAGATAATGTAACTTAAATCATTATGGGAAGTACAAGTAAGCAATGGTGAGAGTAAATATGTCTGAATAAAAGGAGTGGCTGAGTCTTACCACACTGAAGGTGCCAATTTTATTTTATTTTATATTCTGAAGATTGTCAGTGTAGATCCTGCAATTCAAAGATAATTTTAGTTCTGAAAAGGGCTCTTAATGAATAAAACATGTCCCTTGTTCTGTTCTTCCTTTCTGGGAAGGGTTGCCTCTTACTTGCTGCTTTCCATAGCAGATTCTGGTTCTCTGACCCACTCTGAAGTGACACCCTGAAACCATCTCAGAGAAAGGTCTTGCTTTCCCTTCCACATCATACACGCACAAAAATCATGATACTGAAACCCAGCATGCTGTGTATAAAAAGGCTACAAATCCTGGAAATAGAGATGGTGGATGGATGGATGGATGGATGGATGAATTGATTGATAGGGGAAAGAGGCAGTGAGAAATAAATGCAGAGAGGAAAAAAGAATGGCTGGAGAGATAGAGCTATGGAGGAAGAGAAGAGGGAAGTAGGATTGGAGGGGGGGAGGGAGGGATGGGTGAATAGAATTACACCTGGAATTCAAAGAAAACATTCAAAGTTTTTCTTCTGATGCAAGTAAATATTTTTGCCACTTTGTTTTTCTCCAAAGCAACATTTTAGATTAATTCTGCTTCCCATGAAAAATGTCTCATACTCTTATAAAAATAAGAATAAAACCAAGTTCTTAAGATGTAGCCATATAAGCATACTTAACAATGAGGTCAAACTTTTTAAAGCAACAAGTGTTAAGGGCAAAAACATGGTTTATATGTTATCATAAATCTGACACTGTAATTTGCCTCAATCTGCTTATTACATGCCGGTTACTCTCCTGAGAACTTTGCACATATTAAATGTTGAGTTCTCACTGGAACCCTCTGTAATAATTACTGTTATTAACCACTTTATAGAGATAAGGTAAAGGAAGACCAGACAGATGAGATCATTCATTACAGCCTCATTTGATTTTTATTGGAGAAGTGGTCATTCCAGTAACTGTAACCCATTTTCAGCTGCTTTTATTTTTCTCTCATTTTTTTTCTTCCTCTCTCACTCTCCCTTCTCCTCTTCTCCCAAACATGGATTTAAATATCTGGCAGACACTGACCTCAGCCCTACTCCCAGAGAAGTGACAAGAGAATCACAGCCTCTACCCTCTTGGAGGCACAAATGCTAATTCTTTAACTGTCTTTTTAATTAATTTTCCTTCACTTGAAATTATCGGGTTCTTTTCAGAATTCTTTGCCAGAACTCACCACATGAAATAAGAGGAAACAGCAATACATACATCTCAGTGTTAATTGGGAAAATATTGATCAGAGGTTCAGAGTTTAGACTCTGAGGCCAGTCTGCTTCTGTTTGAGCCCACTTCCATCTTAACATTCCTGCAAGCTAAGCGCATTTCTTAATTTCCTTGTGCCTTGGTTATGAAAAGGAAATAAGAATAATGCCTACCTCTTAGAGTTGTTGATTTTTATATTTGCAAAGCAACACATATATATCTGGCACCTTGTAGATCAATTTTTATATAATAAATCACTACTTATTTATTTCACTAGTGAAGTTCTATTATGTGAGGGAAAACTAGGATTTTTAACATTATGTTTAGAAAGGAATTGCTGAACACCAACAATAAGTCTCAAAGAATAAACAACAGCAACCAAATAAATAAATAAATAAAGGATGAGTGTAAAGAATTAGGAAGTCATGTTCCTTTGCTTTATTTAGAGTTCTGTTAATTCAGTGAACCACTCATTCTGATAGGTAGCCTTGTTTATTTTGTATTCAAAGAAACTTAAAATAAATAAACTAATGTTTACTAAGTGAGAGTTACTAGACAAAGAATGTTGAAAGCATAGAAGCAAAGCCTAATAATAATAGATAAATTGTTAATAAAAGGATTAGGAACCACTGCTCTGGAATTTCTATGAGTCCTAAAGAATTAGCTAATGATTCAAAAATACCAGTCATATGATGCACTAAGATACAGTTACCTACTGCAAATAATTTAGGCAGATTTCTAAATGCCTGGGTAATCATCAAAGATTACAGAATCTTAGAACAAGAGAAGACTTTAGAGATTTGCTTTATTTGGTTGATTGACTTTGACTTAGACACTTATTATTTTGGAAATTAAATTCCCTCTCTTCCTAGCTCTGAAAGTGTGTATAACGGTGGAAAGCAACTCAATCAAAATTAGAGAACATGATATCAGGCTGTGGCATGGTGGAATATTTTTGTATGCTACAGTTTAAATAAAAATGTTTAAATATTGTTTTATTAAAAAACATAAATTTCCCAGTAAATGTATATTCAGACTTAAAGGTTCATATATGAGGGCCCTGACAACTGGGATTTTATTTCAGCTTCAACAGATGACACTGCAGCCGAGAAGAAAGGTGGAACACTCCATGCTGGTCTCATTGTTGGAATTCTTATCCTGGTCCTCATTATAGCAGCAGCCATTCTGGTGACAGTCTATATGTATCACCATCCAACATCAGCAGCCAGCATCTTCTTTATTGAGGTGAGTACCAAGGATACACATTAAAAAATAATACAGAACATTCATTTGGGAACACCACCTGTATTTCATATTTAGCACCTGATTTGTCAGGTTCTAGCTGGTGGATCTTACACACATTGCCTGCACACACATACATGTTGATAGATTGCTTTCCTATTATGAGTTCAGTCCTCTTATCTCTGAAGCTTTTAAATAAACAAGCTATCATGGTTTTTGTAGATCTGATGGAAAATAGAAACCATACCTTTGTGTCTATTTTATCAAGTATGCTAACCAGCTGTTCTCTTAATCCCAGGAGGATATTCAGCATATCCTGGAGGTTGAAGGATTTACCTTAAAACAATCAATGAGTAAATACTAATTAAATATTGGCTTTGTGTGTGATACAATATGGTGGGCCTGATGTCAAAATGCCCACAAAAGACATAGGAAAAGTATGATTTTCACTACATAAAAATAAGATGGCATGTGCTCTTGCCATTTTACATAAAGTGTCTATTATGTACTCATACACACATAAAATGAGTGCCATGTTGAATTGGTTGAATTGGTGCTGTGTTTTCATGTACAGAATGTAGCTTTAGTACCAGTGTCAGAAAGGACTGTATAGGGGCCATAGCCAAATCCAAGTGTTTAGGAGCCTGGAACTGGGGAGCTGGAGACCACTGACTGCAGTCAGTGTGATTAAGTCCCTTTCTCTCCCCTAGAAGATTGGGTTCCTGTGCCCTATGCATGTGCAATTTTCATTCTAATATCTTCATAGGAACATTCCTTTTCCAACACCAAACCATACCACAACTACTAGAGTAATAAAGGAAGTCTTCCTTTGCCAAGTTGCAACTATGCAAGAGTTCAAATCTAATTCATTGTATGATGTGCAAAAACGTTGCTTGGAATTTTGTTCACTTGTAAGGTGAGAAATTATGTCTTTTAAGCTGCAGAGTGAAAATTATCTTTGTCTCCTATAACAGAGACCAGTGAGTGCAAATAAATTAAACAATTTCTTTAAAGTCCTATGCAGCTGTCTTACATCTGTAGACTAGAGAGTAGTCTCATGTGGGCATTTAATGCATTGACAATCCAGTTCTTATTTATCATCTTGATCACTAGCCCATGGTTCCCCAACCTGCATTAGAACTACTGTCATATTTCACTCTTACCTCTTCTCCATGCACATCCTGAATGCTTCATGCCACAAAAGCATTGCTTATCCTGTTTCCTCCTCCAAGAAAGTCCTCCAACCCACTTGAGTTCTTGAATTCAAGTGCCAAACAAACTTCCATACCATGTGACTCCCGAGCTCTCCTAGGCCCCCTTCCTGCTGGACATGATCCCTTTCCTCTGAAACTCTTATTCGTAGTAACACACCCATACCTTTCTCTGACATTGACCTTTCTGGTTTGCATCAGTATTAAATCTTTGTATTATTTATTCTAGCCTACAAGACCCATAAATTCCTTAAAATCTGGATTAAATAACCTAGGTTTCCTTTGAAAATTAAGAATTCCATCAGTATTTCCTGTTAAGAAAACACAGAATAAATATCTTACGACATTTTAAAATTGCAGGAAGATTTCATGAACAGCACACTCTTCAGAAATGGCGCCCTCATTTAATATTATAGTGACAGGAATTGCATTAGTCAGAAAGCTGTTATTAAATTTTGCTAATGTGCTCAGTTTTCATGAAACAAAATGGGCCTCTTGCTTGAGGTCAATGAATGCATTCCTGGAAGAGTTGACAAGGGTTCAGCCAAAAGTCTCAATGACCAGCAGACATTGGGCTACTGCGACTGCTGCTATAAGCCCTCAAGCGTTGGAGCTTTTCAGTATGCTATACATTTTATTTTCTGACATTATGAAAAAGAGGATGCCATGAAGTAAGTGACAGTAATGGTATTAGTAGCAAATTGTGCAGTGTGAAGGACCTAGTTAAAGCTAGTTCACAGCAATTTGTGTAAGTACAAAATGAGACTGTAATATAGCAGGAGTATTTCTTTTGCATTTGCCTTTTGAATTCATCTCATTGCTTAATAATCAGAGCCTGTAAGGCCACATTTGTATGGAGTGTGTTTGTGCATGCTTACATACATGTATATTTATAGAATGTTACAGCTAGGGAGAAGCTTAGTGTTTATTTTGTCCTATACCCTAGTAACATGGAGAGAGACTGAGGCTGAGAGGGGTGAAATGACTTATCCAAGGTCAAGCAGTCCTAGTTCTAGGAATAACTTGCCTTTCCACACATAGTGAAGCAGAATCATTTGGTGGACTCCCACCTTTTCAACTTTCTGCCTTTTTCCATCCTGGTGAGTCACTTGTCAGAATCTGTTTAAATTGCTCTGTCTGTGACACCCTGCAGTAGCCATGCAGCTCACTGTGGCTGCTCAGGGATGAGTTCTGGAAGGTGCTAATCATAACAGTGCCATTGTTAAAGCTAACCAATGTGTACAAAGTCCAAACCTAGAACCATGGTGATCTGGGGTATGATCTTTGAGATATCAGACCTCATGATTTTGAAGATTTTTAATTATAAATTAGAAGTTTGGGTATGTAAAAAGGGGAATTGTATGTAGCAATATCATTTCCTTCACATTTTACTTTCCATGTTATACTGCTCTCTGGTTTTTAAATGAAATTGATATATTTTTCCATTATGATACTGCTTGCTATAGAAAAATTAAGGCACTGCAGAAATGTAAAAGGAAAGTCTTTTATTTATTATCTTAGAATGCAGAAACAATCACTGTTAATATTCTAATTGATGTTCTTCTGGAATTATTATAGGTGTAATTTCATGTCTACCCATTTAGTATTGTTGTGGTTTCACTGCAGTGCAATTTGATATTGTTTTTTAAATGTCATTATCCATTTTAGTATGAACTCCTTGTAAACATGATTTTAATAGCTATAAACTATTCCATTCAATATTCATTCATAACTCTGTATCGATTGCCTCTTATGCTGACAAGAGGTAATTCAGAAAGCAGAGAGCCTAGCATGCACCTAGGAATCAAAAGAAAATTTTTTCCACCTAAGACTGTGTGTAGTTTCCTATTGTTGCTGTAACAAATTACCATAAACCTAGGACCTTAAAACACCACACATACTATCTTACAATTCTGGAGGTCAGAGGTTCTAAGTCAATCTGACAAAGACAAGGTGTTGAGGGCTAGTTCCTTTGGGATGCTGTGTAGGAAAATAGTTTCCTTGCCATTTTCAACTTCTAGAGGCTGCCTGCTTTCCTTGACTTGTGGTCTCTCCTTAAACTCATCCATACTCTATTTCTGTCATTACATCTGCTACTAACATGGACTCTCCTGCCTCCTCCTTATGAAGCCCCTTGTGATTACATTGGACCCAACTGAACAGTCCAGAATGATGTCTCCATCTAAAGGGTTAAAAGGTACTTTTGACATTTAAGGTAATATTGACAGGTTTTGGAGATTATGACATGGACATGGTTGGGGACTTTTATTCTGTCAACCACAGATTGCATTAAATTTAGGATGCATCACATGCAACCAATTAATATGTGCTGCATCCTTATCTATAATTCTACAAGAGTCTATTTTTCACTAATTTAGCCAAATTTCAGTAATGTCAAAGTGTGACCTCACATGTATCCTATATATTTCATAGTCTGTGAATGTAAACTGCATGGACAGTTGTATAAATTAGTTCCTGTGTTAGACACAGCATATGCTGTGATGAAATTGAATGATTCTGCCTGTGTGGATGTACCAGAGCTCACACAGCCAATCTGCTATTGCAGAGAATCTCCCCCAAAATATGCATTTCCTATTTATTCATACTATAATTAGTTCCATTATGGATATACTAATGATAATGACTAACATTTATCAAATTTGCTAGTAGAAGTTTCACCTCATTTAATCCTTGCAGACAACTGAAGAAACTTCTTCAACATCACACATTTGGTCAGTAGTGGAGTCAGGATTTGACCCCAGGTCCAACTCCTCTGACTACCCTTAACCACCCAACTGGGCAGCCTCTCTCAGTGTTAGATTTTTCTTCCTGTACTGCAAATACAAATGTAGGGTTATGTACATCTAAGGACATGCATTATTTCCTTAGAGCAGATTCCTCAATGCACAAAGGAAAGAAATAAATAATTTAAAGGCATTTAATAAATACTGCAGAATCATTGCCCAAAGATATATACCCAGTTCTCTAGCCGTGTTTAACTGCTATCTACTTTGAGTCATGATTATAATGACAGGGGCTCTTATCTGTATATTTTGTTCTTGTAGAAAACATATTCCAGTTATTGTACACTTGGTGGACAGACACTCTTCCTCATATACAATGTTTACATAGGCTTTATCTTTCAATTTTCTTGCTTGTGGGAAGGAAATGAGATAATAAAGCAAATTATCACCCTATAATCTGTGTAATTAAACAAGTGAATTGACTGTTTACATCCTATGACTTCATATGCAGGATCCAGAGTATGAGTTCCAATCTCCTAAAACTCCCAGTCTCTCTTCAGTTTGGCAGAATAGTCTCTCACTAATTTATCTCCTGCAATCCTCCTTCATCATCCTCAGATTTGAAAGATATAGTTTAAAATATCTTCTTGACAATTTGCAATGACTTAGTAGATGTTAATCATTTATGTTTTTGTTTATATATCTGGCTTTTCTCAGTTATTTTCAAAAAGATATCTGATTTTGACCAAATCCATGATATCATACAAGAATACCTGTGCTTGCTTTAAAATACAATTTATTATCTTGAAGCAAACTGACAGAGAGCAAATACTCAAATAAACACATGTCCCTTAACTTTTAATAGACTTCGATAAAACTAACATTTCTTTGGAAGATTTGATGTGCTTCAGGTTCTACATTCAATGTAACAATTGCTGACATCTCTAGGCATAAATTCTGTGATTTATAACAACTTTCACTGATGCATGAATATATGTCACAGAGGTCAATGTTAGCACTATTAAATGCTGTTCATTGTACATCACTA